GATTGGCTCCCAACCGCAAGGGATGGGAGCCAATTTGCGAAAACCATGCTATTTAATAAGGGAATATTCTTATTTATATTATTTAATAAGCGAATAAGGGTCTATTCTTACCCCATCGCAGTCGCATCGGTTTACGGCCAAAAAAAAAGTGAAAGTATAATACAGGGTGTTCGTAGTTAGACGCAAAATAGGGAATCCTTTATAGCCTCGATTGAGTCTCAAAATGAACGTTTTTTAATTCGCTCGGTTCATTCCATCGATTAGTGTCACAGAGGAACGGCTGCGCATTTTAAAAGGTTTCCCACCTGTCGAGGGCATTGGAAAACACGCTGCATGTACTTTCTGCTTTCTTAAGGTTCCAAAATCGTAGAATAACGGAAGCCAGAGGGATTGAAGTCCTTATTGGAATATTTTGAATTTCTGAAGTTCAACTGGAGCGGAGATCATAAATGACTTCATTAATTTTTTTAAGCGAGCTATCAAGCTATTTTAATCATGTATATTTTAATTTGGGGTGTTCCAACAGGGTTGGGATCTCAGGACTCAACCGAATCAACTCTGTTTTCCATCAACAGGTGTCGAATGGAATTTTCACGCCGGCCGAGCCATCCTGAAGTGAGAGGTCTCTGTGGCAGATGAAAAAAGGAAAAAGCTGAAATCTGGCTTTTTTCGACCAGGTTTCGCGACGGCCGCACAGCAGTCAGAAACGACGAGGAAACTGGATAGCATGTGCTGAAAAATGTTTAATCGGGTCGGGTTCCGAAAATTTGGACCGTGTAGGGCTCTAAGCAGAATGAAACAAAACTTGTTTCCCTGTAAATTTGGATTTTTTTTTACCGATACCCTCCGCGACATCTGCAGCATCGCATGCCTTTCTTTGTTTCATTCGTTGCGCCGTCTTTTTCCGCCGAGAACCTTCCATCCTCACGGAGTCATCCACTACACCGAGAGTCGTTCTCGCAGAGAGCCTTCCCGCCCTCGTGCCATCCGGAGGAAGCACCTGGCCCCGCCGCAAATGATATTATGGATATGGCCTGATAGGACGCAATAGGACCTGATTAGAAAATGGGCAAGACCAATTAATAATAAATGAGCTTCTCATTTCCTTCGTGTCATGCCTCGAGATTTTCCACGTTGAAAGCTGAGCCTTCTGACTATTCCGGCAATTACTTCATTTTTTTATGCCATGTCCTTGCCGATGAATCAATGGGCACGGCAGCGGCCATTACCTTTCTTCAACCCCTTCCCACGACAAAATTCAACCGTCTCGTATTCCTCTAGGAGAGCATCAACAAGAGCAAAATTCGGCATACTTCTTTATATCTCAACACACTTTGTGGGTTGTCAACTGTCATGATTTCCTCACTAGTACACGAAAAGAAATCCATTTGATGTGCTGGATAAAGCCTGTGTAAGAAGTCCAGGGATTTCAGGATGCTGCAAATAATCGATAATGAGGAAGAAGCACGAAGGACCGGTTTGAAGGTACACATGGGTTGATGAGGGTTCCACCATCCCTCCTCGGGTGGAAGCACTTGCATGCAAAATCTCATGCGGCTTTGAATAAAGTTTTCCTTTTATTAATCATAATGTATTTTGATGTGATGCATCGGATTGTTCTCCTAAACTGGCACTGAACTCAGGATTTTTCTTTTTGACAATTCCGTCCCAATATTCGTATCTCTGGAATGAACTAAAGCCGTGAGGGCATGCTATGTAAACGCGTTCGAACGCATGTGAACGCATGCAGACACGCAAACCGCATGCTTTACAATTACTGTTTATTTCAGTGCAGATCATCAGGCTTCTCAATGTCGAGTTTATCTAATATGTTAGTGTCTCTGGGGTTTTTGTTACTTGGCATTATCCACGAAAACGATTTCCATTTGATCCTGTGTGCTTCAAGTATTATGGGAAAACAGAAGAATGGAACCGCGGGCCAATGCCGCAGGTATTGAGCCCTCTATTGCACAATGGTCCCCAAGATAAGGCAAAGAGGAAACTTCCGTCTAGAGAGTGAATATGAAGGATGAGTGAAGTAGCTTCATGACGCTGGCATGTCATATATTTCACTTTATCAGATCCAATTCACAATGGAATCTTTCCACTTCAACAGGTCCAAAGGACTTCACATACTAGAGTTTCTTGGTAACAAAAAAAAAGAGCTCGTCTATTGCATGTGATAAGAAAACATTTAATATGAAGCTTTCAAGTCGTAAGGTTCATTTTCTAACGACGGAGGTATGCGTCCAATATATGTCCTTCCCTTACTCATGAGGCGTTTTCGAGTAATTGCTACCTCATCTGCATCACAAAACGCTAAGCTATCTGGGAATTCTTCCACCTTTTTCATATCAGCTTCGACAACATCTAATATATATAGACGACGTGACTGACCGATTGACTGACGCTAATTCTGACCATGTTCTAGAAAGGTTTCAAACAAACTCGCCAGTTTCTAATATTGCTTTTTAGTGTCGCAGTTATCCTTGGTACTACAGTTGACTCCGTAATTTGGAATACTCATGGAACCGGCGAACTCTATTCTATAATGCGGAGAATTCCAATAACCGAAACTATCTGCTATATCGTGCCGTAAATCGAGACCGTGCAATGATATTCCATTGAGACAAGAATTCCATGAACCCTTTAACCGCATAAGGCGTAATGTTACGCCCAAATCTGTTCTGAATTGTACTATGGAGGCAGTAATGTTACGTTTCGGTGCGCAATATTCTATTTTGAACATTGGAGGTCGTAATATCACGCCCATCGCGTGGCGAGCCTAGAACTTTGGAGACGAAAGGTTGTCATACTCTCTTGTCTATGAAAACAGCATGGGTTATATTATTATTTCATTTATGCTAGAAAAATCAACATTATTGATTTGAGCAATTAAGTCGGTATTACTTTGTTCCACAGAAAAAAATTTGCTGGAATAGGAAGAAACACATTTTTGAACATTTATACAGGAAATGAAATGTGTTCCTAATAACTACTGTCGCATCTGCAAATCAAATGGCAGCCGGGGTCTGTTGCAGCAGTTTTACGAAACGGAGCGGCCATTTTCATCTTGATGAAACAAAAACTTTGTGATATCATACGAGATGAATTTATTTCTGCTGCAAAAGAGTTTCTTCATATGCTTTCATAGCCTTTCATTCAGGAGTCATAAAAGGGCCTGAAAATGGATTTTAAAAAGTCTAATTTTACCTATTGCCTTCTCCATGAAGGGATTATATGTTATGTCTTAATCGCATGGAGTCCTGTAATATTTGGGAGGATGTGAGGGTGGGGCATATCGGTGGGGGTTGGTCAGGAGTGATTTCAAATAATTCACGGTGAGACATTCGCGCCTGTACTGAAAAGAGAGCAGATCAAAGATGACAGGAGCGTGCTCGTAACTGATACATTCAGCGCCCAGAAGGATGCCGAGAGTACATTTTGTATCCTCTTAATATCAATCCATTGGGCAGATGTTGAGGTGTTATGACATGTAGTGAACATGTAGTGAACGCATGTTTCATGACTCGAAGAATGCATGGTGTCCAGATCTGAGTGAGGTCATTCTTGGAGACACCAAGGTCTTCAAGATCGTCAACATGAAAAGCAGACGCGATGTTCTGTTGATGTGCTGTTATGCCAGGAAAGGGTGTCTTGAGTTCCGTTCGGCCTGCATAGAGCCGTGCTAACTGAAGGGTATTATTGAGATCTGTAAGGCCCCCTGGTAGCGTATGATGTTGGTTCACCGTTCAGTTGTTGAATAGACATAGAATCAATGTTCTTACGGTCTTCGCTTTTACCGATTCCACCGCATTTTTTTCCATTCAGATTTTGATTATTGCACCTCTCCTTTCAATCTTGTACTTCCCCGTTTTCATTTACAAAAGGAGGAGGAGTAGACAAAATAGACAAAATGCATTTAGGCATTCCAGTCCGGACTCAATATATCCCCAAGTAACACAAGATATTCCAGCAACGTTTAGGAAATGTTGCTGAGCAATGTTGCATGTATGTGTAAATGTCCAAAACGTCAACGTTGCTCAAATGTTGCGAAGGAACATTGCATTTACGTTGCAAATCGCTACTTATTCATTACATATACGTTGCAGATACGTTTCAGGATTTATGTTGNTATATTGAGTCCGGACTGGAATGCCTAAATGCATTTTGTCTATTTTGTCTACTCCTCCTCCTTTTGTAAATGAAAACGGGGAAGTACAAGATTGAAAGGAGAGGTGCAATAATCAAAATCTGAATGGAAAAAAATGCGGTGGAATCGGTAAAAGCGAAGAAAAATGAGGGACAAATGTGTACCCATCATTATTATTAGGAACGGATGTTGTTTCCTTTCATAATATAATTTATGCCCAGTTTCGGATTACAGGGCGTTCGGAATATCTGCCAAGGAACCCTTATTTTCAGCTTCGAGGAACTTCGAAGTGAGCTTCAGCGACACCGGGCGCACATCGCATCGTCCGGCTCACCATCAGCGAACTGTAGGAGATATGGTCTCCTTATGCCATCGTGTTGATGGGGGCGGCTCGACCGGGACGCTGCGGGGTGCGATGGCTACCTCGCTAACCGTGCCTTCTCAAGTTACCATTGGAAACCAATCCAGATCATTGTGACCTTTGAATCGTTCAAGCTGAACGTTGGCTGCTCATTGGCAGCTAACAGTACATTCCCAACCTTCAATTATTACATATCCTGTATCAAATTTACACCTAAGTTCATTGAATGTTATTCAAAATGTAAGCAATATTTTACTTAAAACTTAAAATCCTGTTCACAATTATTAGAAGCTATATTGGCCATTAAATTCATGGCTACGAATAGTCATCATGCCACTGGTGAAGAAATTATGTTCGCAATTAGAAAAACACTTACTTAATAATAAATCCATGTGGCAGTTTAATTTTCTGGGAGATATAGTAATGGTTTTGTCTTCCCGCTAATCGTAAAAAAAATTAATTCAGAAGAAAGAGTGAGTGATTAAAATGCGTGGGATTCCCGACTCAGTTGTGCCTCCGCTCGCACTCGCGCTCATTGAAATTCCGTGCCCTCGAGGCCGTTCCCCGTGCCCTCAAGGCCGTTACGGTCGCCTGTGGGCGAAGAGGGGCCGTCGCCTGCGCGGCGCAGCTGAGCCTGATCGATATTCCGCGGAGAGAGGCACGGGGAATGCGAGACACTCGGGGATCGGCCGCGTTCACTGCGTCTTTCACTTCGCCCGGTTCATCACAGCGATAGCGAGTGTCATCCTTCCGAGTGACATCCTTCGGGGCGCGATGTCGTGCTGCAAGAAAGAGAAGCACGCGGAGGTGCAGGAATACTACGGGAAGGAGGTGAAGAGCCAGAAGGACCTGAAGAGCGTGGCGTGCATCGTCCAAGGCTCGACCAAGATCCCCCAGCACGTGAAGCAGTGCCTCGCGAACGTCCACGATGAGATCATGGCCACGTGAGTCCTAACGAGAGGGTCTGGGCGCGGCTGCAGCATAGGCACTGAAAATTATTTTCCGCATTGCTTCACCCTTTGCCTGTTGCCCCCCAATTCCCCCCCCCCCTTTTTTGCCTTTTTTTCCTTCTTTCCTTGTCTGTTTTCGCGAGTACGGTGAGTTTGCACGTGATCTATCCGTCCATTCCTTGCCAATATCGACGTGCGCTTTTCATAGCGTATTTTTTTTCTGGGGCGTATAGATGTTTATCCTACTCGGAAATTCAACGGGTGTCCAGTTCCGTTAAAGTAAAGCCTGTCTAGTCTCCCAACCCAACATCTCCATGAAATCAAGACAGAGCCCCCCCCACCCCCCCCCCACCCCCCAAAAAAAAAGGAATGAAAAATGGTCTGGGTCTGGTTTCGTCGACCTTGAGAGCTCTATGGGACAACAATAGAATCCCCGAGGCACGAATGCCGATCCGACACGCAACAGACGGTAATTGGGTGAAACGGGTTCTCCACTCGTTGCAGCCTCGCTCATCGATGATGACTCTTCCAATCGGAAACGCGTCTCTCCCATTATTAATAATGGGAGAGGCGTTCCCCCCCATCCCGTCCTTATTTTCTCATCTCTTTACTGAGTACAGGGATTATTAATAGCTACGATATTACTTGCAGAGGATTATATTCTGTCGGATTACTTGATTCAGTCCATGTGTACTAGTTATTTATGAATAAATTAATACCTGAAGAATACTGTTTAAAAAAGTATGAGCATTCCTAGTAAAACATCAATTTCAATAAATATTAGCTGGCGGTCCCCGATCGGGTCCATGGCGTCCAAGAGGCTAAAGCTCGTAGAATCCGCCTGCGTCGGTTGAAGGTGACAGCTGGCATGCACCCGGCTTCTCGCGGTCGAGCGACCTCGACCTTGAGGGGCGCCGTGCCGGCGTCCATTTTTGACGAATATTTTAAAAAATATATTTGTGTTAACGCCGGGGAAGCGGGCGGTTGTATAACCGGGTGGCCTTGGCGCGGCGGAGGCGGATGGAGGCGCCTCGTGTGTGGTCCAACCGGCTTTTCGGTGTCGGATATTAGTCCGCTGTCGTGTTTTCTTGGGCGACACTGCGCCGGGAAACGGGACAGCTATTTATTAAATGCAAATGAAGGATCGCCCATCCTTTCTTTTAAAGATGGTTGATTTTTCGCTGAATGATGATCAGTCGAGCAACTCGAGAGACGATAGCAGAGGGGAGAAGGGGCAGAGGGGGGGAAATACTCATAAAATGTTTCCTGTCGCAGCGTTTGCAATCGGATCGGGGCGGCCTGTCGAGAGCAGCTAACGAGCACGCCTGAGTTATGGACTCCATCGGTTTTCTGTCAACCTGTCATGAATGCGAAATTAAAGACGCTCGCTGTTGATTCGTGTCGCTGCGATACCATATGTTTCTCGTGCGTTATCGGAGGCCCAAGCCCCGGAAGTCCCCATCATACATTTTATTCGTGGCCCCGCCATTTGCCCCTCTGTCAAAATTTTCAGGAATGATGAACCCAGAATGCCTATTTTTGCAGGAACTACGGGTGCGGCTACCCGTTCCCGGACGGTTTGACCGGCTGCAAGGTCCTCGACCTGGGCAGCGGGACGGGCCGGGACGTCTTCGTCCTCAGCCAGCTGGTCGGGGGGGACGGCGCCGTCGTCGGGGTCGACATGACCCCCGAGCAGGTCCCATTTCATTCCATTTCGTCCCATTTCTTCCAATTTTTGTCACATATCTTCCCATTTTGTCACATTTCTTCCCATTTTGTCACATTTCATCCCATTTCTTCCCATTTTGTCACATTTCATCCCATTTCTTCCCATTTTGTCACATTTCATCCCATTTCTTCCCATTTTGTCACATATCTTCCCATTTCGTCCCATTACACTTCCCATTTAATTAATGATAATTTATCGCAGATAAAATTAATAAATAATCCATAGATCGCGAAGGCCGAGGAATACGCGGACCACCACATGAAGAAGTTCGGCTTCGAAAAGTCCAACGTCAGCTTCAAACTGGGCTACATGGAGGACCTCAAGGGCCTCAAACTCCAGGAGGACTACTTCGACGTCATCGTGTACGAGGTTATTTATTTATTACCGATCCGATCTTGGCCAAATATTAAACATATATTTTTTGGTATTGCAGATCGAACTGCGTGGTGAATCTCTGCCCGGACAAGCGGGCCGCTCTGGCCCAGGCCTTTGATCACCTCAAGGTCAGTTCAAGGTCAAGGTTACGAGAAAATTCGTGAATAACTTACTGCACACGGTTATTGGTTTTGCTTCCATCGGCGAGGTCCCATTTAAAGCATCGAGTTGAAATGTGGATGTAAACGAGCGAAAGCAAGCCAACGGCACTGGAGACGTTAGGGACTCGCACTAAGCATGCTTAACAACTTGTAGTGTCTCCCAAGCGTAGATCCATGGGTTCATTGCTCATTTCGCGATGAGAATCTCCTCTGGGAAGTTTTCGACTTGGAAGGACTCCCCTAGTGTGTAGCGCATTTTAAATTCGCCCGAAACCGTGCAGTTTCAGTCCGAATCCATTCAAGGCGGTCAGACGTGACCGTTTTCGCGTTGAAATTGGCAGCAAAAAAATAAAATTTGCCCTTTACGCGTAATTGTATAAATATATATATATTTCAGTTATATACCACATCTTCATCTTTCGCTCATTCGGACAAAAATCATTCGTTATTTTATTCCACGAGGCAGGTCGGAGGAGAGCTGTACTTTAGCGACATCTACGCCAGCTGCCCCGTGCCCAAAGTCCTCCAGGAGAACAAGGACCTCTGGGGCGAATGCTACTCCGGCGCCCTGTGGTGGGAGGACCTCCACTCCATCTGCGCCGACGTCGGCTTCCACAGCCCCATCATCAAGGAGTCCAAGCCGGTCCCCGTCACGACCGAGGAGCTCCAGCGGATGCATGGTCTCATCTCTTTTTTTCCTCATAATTTCTTGTGAAATTCTAGCTTTATTCCACTGTACCATTCCGAGCTTATTCAACTGCTGGTTGCTCGTGGTTTCCCTTCGGGCTAACAAACTCACTACATTCGAGCCTTTTAAATGGAGTGATGAGGTAATACGGGTTTTTTAAAAAATTCGCCGTCACGTCACGTGACTTCCGCTCGAGAACCGTTGAGCGACCATGCCGGCATAGTGCCGACACTTTTTTTTTTCCTTCCACGACGATGTTTCGACTGAAGTACTCTAATGGAGCTCCTTGTTCGGACTCTGCGTGATGCACCACGAAGTTGTTTATGATGAAAGACGTTTTGTGAATCCAGCCCAGCGGCGTTCAACGTTACATCCTGAGATTGAATATTAGTGACTCCATGAGCAGTGGAAATTGTCAACACATTACTTATAATTTCTACGTCAATTTCAAACATGGGGGCAATCGCACGATTGCGCCTATCGCAATATATTATTTCTTCAAACGGTACCTCTCATAAAAAGAACTACCAAATACGAGATATATATATATATTTTTTTTTTCCCTCCCTTGGGAGGGGGGGTAGGAGTGGTGGGTGGGTTCTAAGTTTCTTTGAAATTTGTCCCTGAATTTTCGTTTCATGAAGTAGTGTTTGAAGCAAAACTGTTTTACCCAAGAGGAAGCATTTCGGGAAAAACCACCTCCTCATGCCTCTTGAAAAAGTTCACTCAGGGGTTGAGGAATCTACTCAGAAAAAGGAATTTCCCCGAAATTGCCATTCTGAATACCACGAGAGTCATCCACATCGCGACGCCCTGCGATGCATTTAATTTCTTTCAAAAGCTGCAATCGTTCTCGAGACTTGAGGCTTTCCGTTGCATTCATTATTTGATTACTATTTCAACATATTCGGGATAATTCCCTTCAATCGCCAAATGTCCCTCATTTACATTTTGCTTTTACGCTTTTAAAAACGCCCTTTTAAAAATAAAAAAAATTATGACTTTGCCCCCCAGTCGACGAGCTTCCCAAGGACCTGACGTTCGCCTCGGTCACTTACCGCCTCTTCAAGCCGTCTCCCTCCGGCGACGATGCCTCCCCCAAGGCTGCCACCTACGACGGCGGACTCCAAGGATGCTCTGACTCCTTTGAGTTCGCCCACGATCTCGTCTTCAAGGTCGGCTCCTTCCGAATTCGTGTGTTTCTCGTGGTGAAATGAATAGATAACTTTAGGCGCGGATTTTCGGGTCTCTTTGTTAAAACGTTCCTCATCAGTTACCGTGTCAGTTTTAATAGTTACATTTTTTTGCGACACGCTGGGTGTNAGTGGTAAAATCGAACTTAGTTTCTAGGTCAAATGATGATTCGATGCAGAAAAAAACTTTATTGATGGCTGAACAATACTGGACTTAGGCGTTGTCTCTGATCATACCAGAGGCCTCTTCTCATTCCGTTGAACGGTTGCGCTGATTGTTGAGTGTTGAACTTGAAAGTCATGCCGAGACGGAATCGATGGCTTCAGCGATGCATCAGTTGGATGTATCAGGACGATGCATACGATGCATCCAACTGCATCGAAATCGACCCGCGAAGGGTCCATTCTCATTCTCGGCATGACTTCCCGGTCCAGCACTCCACAAATTGGCGAAGCGCGATCGGCAATATCGTTTGTGGGAATGCGATGAGCTAGCTCGTGTGAGGGCATCGCCCGCTTCCAACATGCCCATTTTTCCACCGGCGCATTCTTCGACCTTGATACTTAGCTCCATTTTATCACCCACCAATAATAAGTTATCACCAATATATTTAGTTTTACCATACATAAACTGGGATTTCTGTTTAAAACAAAAAAGAAATTCATCATGAATGCTAATTTTCGGAAATTATTAAACTCTTCCCTTTGAAACTGCTCCATATCCTGGCAAACTGCTACGAGCTGCGTATCCAAATTCAAGCAGGAACACTCGAGTCCTTCCCAATGCTATTTTTAAAAATAATTGTGTATCAGGGTGCATTTAGTGCAACTCAATTTATAATACTCTTGCTATTTTTGGGAATTATTATTCAAGTGTCATGCTTTCCTCACTAGTACACGAAGACAAATCCGTTTGATGTGTTGGAGAAAGCCTGTGCAAGAAGTTCAGGGTCTTCAGGATGCTGCAAATGATCGACAATGGAGGAGAAGCACGAAGGACCGGTTTCAATGTACACATCGGTTGATTGATTGGGAATCGTTAAAACTTTCTGGCATGATTCTGGCATGCCTCTCTGTTTATATGGCATCACTACGTGGCGGCATACAATTTGTCCTGTTGTGTGGCTTGGTTCTGTTGCTCTCTTTGATTCCGAGGAGAGATCTGTGTGTTTGCTTTTTCGTGCATTCTGTCCAACGTATTCAATAATACGGTGCTTTTCCTTGTTTTTTTTTCCATCACGTTTAAGAGCGATATGCTCTCAAGGGTGTGTCACCTGTCTCGGGTTTGCAAGGCAGAAATGCAGCTGTGGCGAAGACCCTTCGAAGCCAATTTCGCAATTGCCAGTTTCGGATTGTGCATGGATGCCACGGGTGAATGGCTTCTTTTTCCGAAGCCAAATCGTCTCCTCCCTTTAAGTGAATTTTTTGAAGAGCTTGAGGAAGCGATTCCTTGGCTGTGATGTGAGGCCTTCGTTTCTGAAGTAGGGAATTCTTTAATCTGGATGGCCTCAAGGGACTAAATTTCCACCTTGTGCCTTTTCATTTTCTTACTTGATCCCCCTCCAGTTTGCCATGTGCCGCTGAAGGGAGAACGCGGGATCAAAAGATGGAATCTTTCCATTCGTTACATGGAACCCAAATTGGAGATTTCAGAGGGGAAAACTTCATGAAATAAAGGACGCCACATTACTTTCGCACAATTTTAATGCGGCACCAGAGTATTTCGTCACACTCCTTCATCAGAATCATGAATATATCTATATCCCACAACACATTACGATGTGTAGTTTTCCCCTAGTATTCTAGTCTGAAAAGTGCAACAATAAATTCTCGGCGTCGAAGGTAATGTATCCTTCATGGAACTAAACTGAACGTTGCTATCAAAATAGCGACTCCTGGAATGGTTTTTTCCCCAAAGAGTGAGAATCCATGCTTTCCTGCCCTCGGTGCGAGAGTCTCGAATTGTCATCTGATCCAACTAGCAGTAATCCCAATGACAACTCGGAGATATTTGTAGTAAGAAAGGATTGGAAGTTTGAGTTTAGCTCGTTATGAAGCTCAAATTCGTCTCAAATTTCGAGAAGGGATTGCGGGTACAGATAAACCACAAATAAACGCAAATAAAAATGAATAAACGCAAATAAAAATAAATGAATGCAAATAAAATAAATGCAAAGAAAAATGTCCCGAAATTATGAAGGGAAATAAGTGCCACTCTATCACAATACCAGCGTGAATGATCTCAAATGATCCATAATGACATAAAACAATGACATATGACCCCAAATCATTAAACCACGGCTAAGCATAAAATAAGAGTTTCTCGATGATACCCTTCACGTCGCCAAATTTCACAATATTCTTATCGCGTCGTGGAAAAACCACCGACATTCCCCATTTCACGATACTACCTTGGAATTGTTCAGTCTTTCAGTGAAAGCGAAGACGGGGATCCGTCGAGTTCGCTTAATACTTGATATGCACGTACGTCGCTATTAGGACGTCGATGGGATGATCGATGTCATTGATGCACAAATGATCCCGATCGATGCAGGGTTCTACGCGTGAATTGAGCTTCTGAGCAAAC